CTCTCCGTATTTTTCGTCCCAGGACGCCCCTGTCCGATTAGCCGCCTGCAGAACAAACCGCGCAGCGATATTACGAATCGAGGAGCCCAGAGAATCTACTGCAGGTACAAATCGAGGTTCATCACGAGCACTCGAGGCTGCAGCATAACTCGTACAGAAGCAGACAAGAGTTCTTTACATGAACTGCAGTCATTTTGACAAGAACCTGAGTTACAAATATTAAAACAATAATTTACCGACAAGCACACGCGAGATAATAAACAAACGACTACTACAGTCCATATTATATTTCTCTGTGTAAATTTCGAAAAGCAAAGAACGTTTCCGGCGGAAAAAAGCAGATGACTGACGAGATCTGCGAGGATAATATTAAAATGGGCAAGAAAGATCCATCTGAGGCAGACCAGGGTCCAGAAGGGGGGGGGGGATACCAATCAGTCTACGGATCGGATGAAAGCCACAGGCAGTTTCTCGATTAGCTAAGCGACTACCGGCTTCTTCAAGAATACTGGCCCATAGTCCACAGATACCCACTTAAGTATAAGGACTTATCAGCAAATCGTCAGATATAACGTAAAACACTCGGACCGTTGTTCCTGGCGCAAACTGCACTTTGTATGCAAGAGACAGTCAGTTGCTCTTACGAGGCAAAACAACAAACAAGTCACATAACCTAACGCCTTACACCGACGTTTCTATGAAATGAAAACACAAGGAATCGCGGGGCCTGGCGCCGATTTCAAGACTTTTCGGCTGTCAGTGTTTGGACAGCAGATTCCGTCGAAGTAACACGAGGAGGACAGCTCAAGTGACGGGTTATCGCCGGTCCTCACGACCTCCCAAGTGACGAAGTCCTCGTCTTATGAGACCTCAGGTTCTCACAGCTGCGAAGACGTCGATGTTATTCGTGCGGGTTGTAACACGATCTGGACTTGCAGGAACATACTGTCTCTTTGGAGGTGGTCGCAGTATGTACCTCCGAAACGTTGGTATCAACCTACAAGTCAGAACGCAGAACAACATCGACGCATCCCAGTCACTTGACGCCGCTTGAGAGGGGATGGCGAAACAGACAGATCCCTCAGAACCACAAGTTCAACAGCAAATTAACCGGGGGTAACGCGGCCGGAGCTTCCACCTGCTGCCAAAAATTAAGAACGCCTGATCTACAAGGCAGCGGCGCCCGCGGGTGTCGTCGTCTTCGTCGTAGTCGCAAGAGCGGATACTCACATGGCTGAGCAAAGGCGATCACCCGCTCGGTGCGCGCGTGGTAGTCGTCCTCTTCCTCCTGCTCCACGCTTCCCGTCGCCCGGACGGGCTCGTCGCCCTGCATTCCCGAGAGGCCCTGCTGGTGCTCGTATATCTGCAGCAAGTGGTGCAACGGGGGGATCTTGGGCAGCGTGCGGCCCGTCGTGTTGGGCGCGTGCTTCATGCCCAGCTTGTTGAGGATCTCCTCCTTGATGGTCTGCAGACTGAGGTTCCGCAGGCCCTCCCGGAACAAACAGGACTGGCAGCCCGAAGCAGGCGTCGTCACATCGTCTTCCGTTTCGTTGAGCTGGTCGGGCACCCTGTCCCACCTCCTGGCCACCGCTCCCCGGACGCCGGAAGCATTCGCGAACAGGGACGTCGCGACGGAGGTGTCACTGCCAGCCGCAGCGAGGCCAGAGCGCGCGCACCAACACAGGACGATCACTGTCACCATGACAACCGCACTCGAAAGCTCACCACTGTCGATGGCTCTCCGACGACGCCTCGGCCTGTCTTCTTCCTCGCTGCTGAGTCTCATGTCGTCCCGCGTCACTTCCGGATGGAGTCTTTCTCGCAGCGTTGTCATGCCGACTGGCCGACCGAGCGCCACACAACTGCGGATGACAGAGCGAGGTTAGGGCGAGTGAATCTCGTGGAGGGGAGGAGCGGATGGCACGGGGAGGGGATGACGACGGCTGCCACTTTTAATTGTGTCCGAAAGGTGATAAGATATGTGTTAGGTGGGTTGCAGCAACTCGTTTGTGCGCGCGGCTAGCACGCCAAGCCTGTATATAGGCAAAACTGCCGCCCGCGCCCCGCGCCCAAGCTCCGTCCCGCGCCTCGCTGCAACAGTGGCACACACAATTTTACAAAAAATTACCCGAACCACATGCACTTGAAATGCCCTTTTGCAGACTGACGTCACGACGACAGGTTTCGGCCGAACGAAACTTGTGCGTGGAATTAAATAAGGAAGTCCATGCAGGACCCGACCTCCACGTCTGTCTTTTTTCTTGTATATATTTTGCGACTTCCGATCTTTTGTTCGCGAGATTTCAGTTCACATCTCGACCGCCCCGTCATGTGCTGCTCCTTGACGGCGAGGTGACGCGAGCGTCACAGTGACGGCGAAAGAGGGGCCCAGGGGTCGGTCCACTTAACACTCCCCGAGTCTTTTATCATCGGCTCGCGCTGCAGGGCTCCCAAATGCGGATAATTACGGAAATCAGAACCTCACAAACGCCCCCAGGAGGGAGAGAGTGAGGTCGGCCACATACCGTGCTGCCACCTGCTGAGAGAAACACACAGTGGCTCTTCGTACCAACGTTACACTAAGCCTCAGGTCAGTTTCGCCAAAGGCAACTGCCGTAGCAGGCGGCGAGAATTGTTCGCAGATCAGAAGAAATATGTGGAACGAGGAGCGTCGTAATGCCCATTCTTCGCCAGATGGTGATGGACAGAACATGTAACACGCAAGAGAAAAAGTCCAAAACCTGACGGTAAGAGAACGCCGCGGAAGCAGACGTGGGCGCACACAATATCAAAATGGATATACAGCGTGTCCTGTAATTGCAAGCCAAGAAGCCCAAAGGGCTCTTTTCGGGGCTGCGAGATTTTATCTTTTTTTGAGTCCGCGGTCCGTCGTACAGAAACACGAGGCATGAGCACAGGCTGACTTCACTAAGTCATGCAGCCACGCCCACCCACACTGCAGTGGGCAAATGCTATGGGGGGGGCACTGCGACACCCTGTACCTACACAACGATTTCTTAAATACTGACACGAGGCATAAATGATTTGGTACAGAAGTTACTCATCCTGCGAAAAGCACATTTCCACTGCATATTTCGTGTAATTAACCGCCCAGGGTGCCCAAATAACCCGCGCCGTGCGTCCAACAGATGGGGGCATCGCACTCCGATAAGATACGTTACCACGTACCTAAAAGTCGAACCCAGACGACCAACAATTATGGTAAAGCTGCCTCATTTATGGTCTGCTGAACGAGGGCTCTCTTGCGACCCGTTTTCAGCACGCAACAGTGGCATTTATTCTTGACAAGCAATTACGGGACTATCGATTCCTCTTAAGCACATCGTATTTTGCGGATAGTGTCATAGCAGAATGCTGAAGGAATACTGAAATGGATCTCAGGGAAACGGGGTGCGAGGCTGTATTCAACTGACCCAGGATACAGACCGATGGTGGGACATTCGATTTCGATGGCGTGCAAAACAGCACAACAACCACACCAAATTTCATCCAAATCCGCCCAGTGGCTGTCGAGTTCAATCGACTGGACAGACGAACGGTCAGAGACATGACCAGACCACAAAGAACGCATACAAATGTAATTCGTCAACTGAGCTACGACAACGAAACCATTCACAATTTTATGTCCCGGAAACTGCTGTCTTGTTGTGACGAAAAGGACAACTGCACAGTGGAAGAAGCTGACCGTTGCAGCGCGATTGACGTGGAAAAAATACTCGCTAAACCTTAAATGGCGAGTTCACGAAATCTGACAAAGGAAAGTTTTGATAATAATTGTCGAAATTTGGATGGCCGAAAATACCGCATGCACCACATACTTCGAAATGCGGGAACTGAAACCACGACGTCCTGAGTCAACAATCACTTTCCGTCAGCAAATGAATCAGCAGAGGAGAAACAAAACATCGTCTGAACACTTCATCAAAGGTAGTAAGAACAGCTAGGAGCATTCTGAATGCCAAAGTGCAAAGAACGCCTGTGGGCTCCCGAATTAGGACAGCAAATTCTTCTGTTCAATGTGAAGCTGGGCCACGAAATTCAGCCGCGTCGCACCGACGAGTGGCCGACGCGGGACTGTGTATTCCAGAATCATCCCATGCAAAGCGCCTTCTGGAGGAACGTCTCGGAATTTCAATCAGGTAGGGGCGGAATTTTGTAACGTCACACATCTGACAAATTGTGACTCAGAATGCGGTCCGCCTCAGTCAGTAACAAAATCGGCTCGTGTAAGCATAAAGACACTGTTCAGACCCTGATCATGGAGGCAACGCGTCCCTTTGAGACGTGGTCAGTAACCTGGCAGAAGACATGAACGTGCGGAAAACCTAACCCGTTTTGCTGTCGACCACAAGTCAAGGTCCCGTCTTCTGGTTCCAGTCGTCACAGAAGCTGAAGATGTGCATGTTTAACGACGTCATCAGGCTGTTTGCTCTGCCAATCGTTCTAGACGCGCGCCACGCACAGGTTACAATTCGTGGCGAAGGCAATCCGGACCCCTGGAGTCGAAACGTGGCCACGGACCGAGTGTTCGAATCCAGCTCTGCACCGGGAGAAACTGATTCCCCGTGTCACGTTCGCCGCGTGTCAGCCCGGCCAGAAAAAAGTCAGTATCCTGCGTGGGGAGGAAGAAGAAGAATAACAGAGGGCGGCCATTGCCTTTAGCACGTTCCTACCTTTCTGTAATTCGTCAGGGGCGATTTGAGAGAGGGACTGAGCTCAGCACCCGCGACCCCACCCCCCCCCCCCCCCCGACCCCCGACAGCAGCAGGCAACAAAGGTCCGTGACCAAAGTCAATTTATTCATGTATTTATTCATTCATCCATTTATTCATTCATTCATAAATTTCATGAACACTCGTTGCTTGGTACCGCAGAGCAGGGGCCGCGAACCTGGAAGAGTGGACGCAGTTTTCTCCTGTTCCACACGTCCGTGCTAATCTGCTCGCTTGCTTTTACTCAGTCCCTCCGCTTAAACGTTCAAGCAGGTCGCCAAAACCATCTTCCTGTCCTAACCCACGGCGTCGTCACAGGACCCGACTCCGGGCTTGCCCTTTTAATCGGCCCAACTCCTGTGAGAATGAGACGAAATATTTGCGCGCCGTGTCCAGGTGTTATTAAAACCAGGTTTAGAAAGTAGGTTCCGCTTCCGTCTTAACACCTGTACGGCGGACGAGGTCCAAAGAGAACAACTCGACGCAACGAACCTTCGGACTTGGAAAGTTAACTGGATCAAACATTTTAGAGAAACACAGAGGATGAAGAAGACTTGGGCTCCGACGACAGAGAAGACGGGGATTTCATGAAATTTAAAACTAAAAACCGGAACTGCAGCAGGAGCCACGAAAAACAACAGGAAAGTGTCGAAAGCACATTTCGATGTTTTGTTTTATGGTTTTAAGGCGACAGACATTTTTCGAAGTTGTCTTCCTTCTGGGTTATAGAGCCTCCACGACAGAGCGATCCCTGATGATGGAGGCAGCAAGGACCAGACTACACGGCGTTACAACCCAGAAGACAGCAATCTTCGGACTCACCGCCTTGAGAACCCGAAATCCCTGTCCATACTCCGGGCACTATTGTTTACGCTGTCAGTGCTTACGTGGGTCACTAGACGTTGAACTGTGTGTACGGGCCTGAAGCATTCAGCCTAAACTGCGCCTAATTTGAACGGGAAAAGTAAATCAGTTTTCGAAATACAGAAGACCTTGCTCGCGAGGTCATCTGCTACAAATATCAAGGGCCTTAGGGAGCAATCAGATGGGGCGCGATTCCATTACACCAACAGACGCGGGACGAAATGGCTTCGTCTCGCTCAAAACTGGGTCACGTGGTTGGCTTTTGTGAACACGGTAATGAACCTTCGGAATCTATAAAAGCCGGGGAATTTCTCGACCACCTACGCGACTATCAGCTACTACGAAGGAATCTTTCTCTCTCATTCGGCAAACCGATGGCCGCGCCCAAAACTGCCACCGATGTTTAATCTGTGTCGAGTCTTCTTACGTCTGCGTAATGCCTCATCCGTCAGCTCTGTCGGGCCAGCCCGAGGTTCGCGGACAGAGAGCAAAATCTTCGTCCGCCTCCTTCCACATCCTTTGCCAAACCAGAACTTCGTTTGAAGCTACGTAACACAGACAGTTGATAAAAAGTCGTTAAACAAACCAAGACCCCAATCAACGTGCAGCAGTTTTGAGATCGTTGAAAAGTGTAAATGAACCTTTAGGGTATGAGGTGAGAAGCTGACAGTTAATCAGCTGATCAAGAAATTTATTGCCTGCCTTTAATGAAACCCGAAAGTTCATTACAGATCCTACAACAGCCCGCCATTGGTCTTAATTCTGTGCCAGTTCAATCCAGTCCACGCAGTGTTTCATTAGATCCGCGTTTTCAAGAAACAAGTTTCTACGAAATCTATTCACCTGTGGCCTCACCACACGGCCAGAACTCGGTCACCAGAGCCTCGTTAGCACCGCGAGAAGTCGAGGTTGCTAATACTCTTCTTGGCGTGCATCTGTAATTGATCAGCCCCCCCCCCCCCCCGGGGGGGGGAAACAAATTTTTGTCTTGCACCGAACTCACACCTGCAAAAAAAGACATCTCATTTGCACATACAAAATGCTCGGTCCCCTTTCCTACGGAGCGTTAGCATTGTTTTACAATTCTAAACAAGTGACATACAGATGCAGATCAATTTCCGGTCTTACTGGTCTATCCATCTTCGAGGAACATGGCGTCAAGTAAAGATGTCGCAAAAAAAGAAGACAAAATCGCATAAAGCAATCGCAGGCCCGCCACCGGATGGGACAAAATCAACACAAACGGCGTCTCGTCCAGTACCCGATTAAACATTGTACGGAGCTTTACAGCTATGGCCCCCCCTACGCCTTCACTAGAAAGTGAAACGCCAAATTTAATTGCAAATATTAAAGTACCGAAGCCGGTCAAAACGGCCCGTTGAAAACACGGGATATAGGCCGAGATCTCCTCTCCTTACCCCAACGCAGGGATTTCTCAAGAGCCAGATGAATTCAATCCACACCCTCGCATCTCAATATTATCCTCCAACCCACACTCAGGTCTCCCCGTCCCCGATGACAGTCGACGGCTGACACGTGGATGCAGTAGGAATGGTGCGCTTTAGCGCGCACACTTTGTTACGAAGAAAGTGTGCCGCTCATTAGATTCGAGTAATTGTTATTAATGTTTGTTTGTTTGTGACGCGTCAGTCTTCTCCGTTGGCGCAGGGACTTAATCCAAAGACACGTGCGACTAATTCCTTCTCCACTGGCGTATTATTTACGAGGCTTTCGCTTAGAAAGTGAATCTGTATCGCTCCTGTCCTGTTGTAATACGTCAGGTGTCAGCCGCTGCACTGTCGTTTCCGACGGAGCTTTGAAGGTGAACTCCATATTCTAGCAGATCGCACCGTATAATCTCTGCGTTCGTCCGGCAACAGCGTCTTAACTCGAAGCGAGCTTTCGAAACACCTTAAAAGTGATTCATAACCACTGTGCCATTACGACAGACGCAAACATAGTTCGTGTGCATCTTTTTCTATTTCGTCAAATGAAAAGAAACTTCTCGACGAATCCCTTCCCCACGTCGCACGCAGAAATTAAAACTCTTGTTGAGTGAATATGTTTAAGCGAATCACGAAATGAACAATCGAAATGCGAACGAAAAAGCTGAGGCCACGGGTTCAAATCTCGGAGCGGAGGGCGGCTATGCCAACCGAGGTTCTCCCTGGTTTTTCTCAGTGCCTTAAATTAGACCAATTCATAACAAGTCACGTGACGTTACAAGGTCTGAGCGTCGTTGAACAAACCAGAAGTAAATCTCTACGTCACTGCGTCCGGTCCTCGCGATTCATTCACGGACACGTCACAAATCCAACAACAAATTTTATGAAGACGTCAAGAATATTAAGCACGGCTCTGAATGCACAAGCGACGTTTATACGGCTGCCTCTGAATAATTTCGCGTTTACTAGGAAAACGAAGGTTTCTTCGTGAAGCTTTTGTTCACAATCGAACGTCAGCTCTAAGCCGTCTTTGTGTTATTCAACAACGCCTTTTCGGTGACGGTAATATCGAATGAAACGTAAAACCTCGCCCCACTCCAGTCTCTGGGTCGACATCTGAACCCGGGACATCCCGAATACGACGTTCAGTTTGGTTAGGGGATTGGACAGGTTACTTTACAGAGCGCCCTGACTCCATGAAGATGGCAGTCTTCTGGGTTGTCGCGCCGCGTAATCTGGTAGACGTTCCATTGGTCGTTGCTGCCTCCATAACTCATCGCCCTGATGAAGGCAGCCTTTAATCTGCTTTGCATGGCAATGAATCTCAATCTCGAAACTCCATCTCACAATGAAAAGAATATGTGGAGCCATACCTGGGCCTGACACACGCGTCTACTCAGGCACTTCCACTCGCGCTCACGAGTGCTACGTCGTCTGCTGTCACGGAAACACGCGTTTTGATCCAAAAAAGAAATTGTAATTGAATAGTTCTGCAGAAAAGGCAACGTCGCTCGTGAGTTCTTATGGCAGATGAGCATATTTTAATCTGAAGAAGACGCACGAGATTACTGTGACGTCTGTCTGGCATTTATTTCGGTTTCTGCCCACAAACTCACGTCTTAGCACCAGAAGAAGAAAATGGAAAGCGAAGTCGGCGTAAAGACGCAGAAAACGGAGCAACACGAAAAGGAATAGAAGAAACAAGTGAAAGTTTGAATACTGGAAAAAAAAACTTTATTTTAAAACAGTTACGTATTTCAGTAAAATGATGAAAAAAAATTTCAAACATTTTCGAGGTTTAAGAAAATGTAAGCGAGGAAGTGAACGGAAATAAAAAGCGAAACACCGTTCGATTTATTACTCGTACGTGATTTCTGAAAAAGTGATGTGATGCTAATTCATATACAAGTCCTGAAGATGACTGTAAACAGGTGAAACATGTCACCTTGAAACCACACTTAATAAAGTTGTACAGATGGAAGGACAAATAACAAATCTGAAATATCACAAATCCCCACGTCGGCCACTGATCAGAGCACCTGTTCGGTTGACCGTGGCCAACGGCGTTCCACGAGGGCCTCTTGGAGGAGGTCATTCAAGTAGGAGAAGTGGACGACAGACATCTTTCGTGCTAGACGTCACAAAACACCAGTGAAATGACCGGTTCGGCTTTCGTAGTTTATCAAGTCGATCATCCGGTGCTCGCTTTCGGCCATCGCAGGCTCCTCCAAAGCCTTCATGAAACCTCCTCTGTTTCAGGTTAACGGAGCATTCAATTCCTTTACTTATAGCTTATTTAATGACAATTTCTCAGTAGCTCAGACTACATAGCGTCAAATGAGAGGATGACGCGCTACAAATCATCCCACTCTACACTTGGGCCCCAGAGCCAGCACCGATGTAGCGACGAGCGGAGACCCGACGCCGCTCAGAGATTGAGCGTGGTGAGCAACTGCTGTCCGGTGGCCATGATGAGCGCCCTGATGTGGTTCGCGTGTCCCGCCTGCTGGCAGATCTGAACGTAGCTGCGGTACAAGTCGTCTCCACCAGGCGGCAGAACTCTGCACACATCCTCCACTGGCAACGTCTGAGCGAGGTACGTCATCACGTCTGCAAACGAGAGAAGAGACATTCAATTCTGCGTTCAGACTGAGCAGTTGGCATTTGCTTCGTTTTCACGAGAATCGTTATCAACCAAATACTGGGCACAAAGTGCGCGGGACACGTCAAACCTTATCGGACGTGCGCCACCGAGTGTCACCCCCGGGGTTTAAGACTCTGACTCCCACGCGACAAGCGCTGAAACTAAGAGGACACGTGTCAGGGTGCCCACCTCTGGTGACCTGCAGATAAAAGGGCTTCAGCAGCGTCTCGTCTCCTAGGGTCTGCACCTTCCTGTGCAGCATCAGCAGCAGCCACTTCCACTCGGCCTCGCCGCTGAATCTGTCCTGCAACGAGAACAGTTTCATGATGAGGGTTGTCCAAAATGATAATTCCATCGTTATGGACTTTGGATTGTCGTGCACCACTGCCAAAAAAATAAAAATAATTTATGCACTGGTTACATTTGCCAAGATATTAACATAAGCGACAGAACACTTTCGGGCCTCGTCCATCGCCTCGATCGCTCAACCTCTGGAGTGATTTGAGATTGGTTCGTTCTAACAGACCCCACAGAGTAGGTTTCCCTTCCCCTCCGCCACATCTGATCGAGTCCTCGAAACGACGCGTAATTTTACGGCGTCAGACGAAGGGCAAGACGATCCAGACTGTACCGCACGTGACACAGTTCAAGACAGAACACGGCACACGTGCGCCTCGGTCCGATTTAATCGAATGTGATTGTAGCTCTTGGCTCAAAAATGTAACAAAGAAACGGCGGAGAGAGTAAATTTTAGTAAATGTCACTTTCCACGGCAGTACCTTCGTGAAACGCAGCAGAGCCTGAGGGCAGAAGCCAAGCAGAACGTTGGCAGCTTCCAGCACGGGCATGCACAGAACCTGCAGACTCAGGTTCCCGTGGAGCCGCGGGTGCGTCTGCGCAAACTGACGCACTTCAATCGCGCAGTCCTGGGGCAGCTTTCCAGAACAGAGCAGACACTGCAAAACGAACAACAACGGCAGCAGCCGCAAAGCCTTTCGGGTAGAAAGTGATACTGAAAACCTAAAACTCGCAATAAACTCATAAAAAAGCGGCCATGCGCCCTGGTCTTGACGCAAACATTTTAGCGGAGTATCGCGCGCGTGAATCTCGGATAAACGCGGGACGTCCCTCGGTCGCCAGCGATCACGCTCACCTGAAGCTTGAAGAGGCTGTCACAGTCTGCATCCTCCTGTCGGGCCGATCCCCCGTCTTCCAATGCAAACTCCGCCCCTTCTTGAAGAGAGAGGAGTCTTTTGGAAAGGTCAGCAGAGTAAGGAGGCATTTTCGCAAGGAAGGCCGATCGACTTTCTTCAAAAAGTACCTGAACATTCAAACACAAATCTGTTTTACCATCGCATTCCAACGCCTAATAAAACCTGAAGTCTCTTAAATAATTTTTTGTGGGAAATAAATACGCCTTTGAGGGTCCGCAAAACGCACAGATGGTAATTTTGCCTCGGTGCTTATTAACCCCTACCAGTAAATGTATAAGGGGTAGTAGAGAGACACCTCAGCACCAAACAAACCATTCAAATGCCTCCCACCCTAACCCAAAACCCTTCGGGGCAAAGAGTCTCCGAAATCGCTCGATAAGCCGGGTTGGCCGCAGAGCAAAGAGTGAAATGCCTCTCCGTCTCTTTATTGGGTAGTCCCAGTGTCCCTCAAGCTTCACTAAACAGGGAGCGGAGGCGCTACAGCGGACAGACAATGAATTGCAGAAATATAAAAAACTGTTTACTTTAGTGTCTGATTGATTTTCCCACGAAGATCCAGTTTTGTCAGGGTTAAGTTTCCGTCTGGGTTCTTCCGGTTCACCACTCCGCAACTTCTTCTTCCCCGATGTTTTCGCGTCATGCCACCGCAGGTCGCTCAGGTATGACCTCACGAGTATCTTCAGTGCCTCCGCCGTCGGCGCGTCACACGAAGCCAAATTCTGCGCCGTGACGTCACCGAAGTACCAAGCAAAGTATTTCTCCAGAAATTTCTGAAGGACGTCACTCGCTGCAGACCCAGCAATGCCGATTCTAGACGGAATGTATTCCAGGAAAACCTGGGAAGCAAAACAATCCTTCAGCAAACCCAGCCCAGTACATAATTTTGTGCATTCCTGGCATGTAGCCAAAGAAATCAGAACATCACGGGTCATTTACAAAACTTCTCAAAACACATTTAATTTCATACAGGAGAGTCAATACTGACAGCTGTAAAATTTAATTTCGTTCACAACCCCCACCTTACACAAATTCCTCAAAAATGGCTCACTATACACACACACCCCCAAAAAAAAAGGGGGGGTACACTTTTAACTTCAAAATATTCCTTACACGGAGAACATTAAAGACATACAAGGAAAAATAATATGCAGCTCCGTTCTGTAAATATTTGGGCAGTTCAATATTTACTTGAGTACGCACTTGTGCGCATCAACTACAAATGTTCTTAGGTTCTCAAAAGGAGGGAAAGAAATTCAGAGTTACATGAAGACAATTTCAGTATTGCCGCAAAAGAGATCCCTTCTTCAGTACTTGAAAGTCGCTCGGCTAGCCAAGAAACTTCTTGACCCTTGGAACACATACGTTCATTACCATGTCAACAAAAGCTTGTCACTGGTCCACATCCTGTTTCTTTAGGCACTATATTAATTTTGTACACCCAAGATTACTCTTCTCTTCCGAAATCATTCCCTAAACTACAAAATAAACGAGTCAACGGACTGTCAATTACCTGCAATATCTCCCGCAGTGTCGCAAACTGCAACGCTGTAACAAAGTCTGCCAACACAACAGCCAGCACTGCCGGTTTTGAGTCCATGAGAACAGACGCTAACTCAGAGAAGCTGGGCGTACTGTCACCGCCATCTGAAAGTGATGTCGAGGAAGACCCTCTGGTTGAAGCCGGACACTGACGCTCCAGTAAGAGGATAGGGTTATCTGACAAGATGCTGATGAGACTACTGGGGGTCAGCGAGTCCAGAACTGCGACGGCCTGCTCCGGAGAACCGCGCTGAATGCACAGCAACACCAGCGCCAAGGCATCTGAAGCAGCTGGAGCTGCCCTAGGTGCAGAAACAGGAACTACGTACACAGCACACGTAAATGAACAGCAGAAATAGTGGTACTCTACATCAGACGAAGATTCTGAACGCTTTATTCATAAATCACTAGTCACAGAGAAAAAAAAATTTCCTTGCTGGGAACGGCTATTAAAATCCTTCTGCCCGTCCATCCGTTCACACGAATGAAATAACTTGACATCAGATAAACCAATTTTGACTAAATTCTATGCTGGAAAATGTTATGAAAAACAGATCGCTTCAAATTTAATTCAGACTGGACGATCTTAATGACCACTTCACAGAATAACACAAATACTCTAGCCTCTCAACATAAGATATTTTCCAGTCCTCAAGATTCCTACCACCCTCTCATGCTGCTTCAAACGCCAATATCTGACTTCCCCTCTGGAGCTGCAACGTAACTACGCACCTGGCACTCAGTTGCTTCTTCATGATAGCGAGAACTCTGTCTGTGGCGCAATCTCGAAGCAGACTGGAATTCAGAACAAGTGTAGAAACCTGAGCAGGGTCATACTGTTCAAACAGATCAAGCAGCGTGTGAGCAAAGTTGGGAACGGCCGGGCTGAACAACGTGTCGCCTGGGGCTTGGTTCAACTGGAGCAAGCACTCGCGCAGGTATGACATAAGACCCTGCAAACAAACGGCATTCATGCTTAAGAATTAACAACATTCTACGACTGCATGGACAGATCTTGTGCCGTTAATGTTACATGGGTAATGCAATACAGCTTCGGTATGGAGTGACGGCGCTACATTTAAGTCAACGTCAGAGAACCGTGTCTCACTGTATGTATATTTTCTTACACAAATTCTCTTCCAAAGTCCTAATGTTCTCATGACTTTACAACCATTACCAACACTCACTTAATTTTCTAGAAACTTAGCAAATCTATGGCAGTCACATCAAAATACGATCTGTCTATAAATCCGTACGCAATTGAGCCGGATTCCGCTTTCATCATCGCGTAAGAAAGAGGAAGAGGGCAGAAAACCCATCTAGTGGGGCCCCTGACTCACCTAACCTCAGACCTGCACAGCAACGAAATTGAAAACCTGCAAGCAAGATCTGCAGACAACAATCATCCGCAGAAGATAGATCTTAATTTTATTATCGTCCGTCCGACCCACCTTTACGACACAAGACCCACACTCTCAAGTCATCAGCGTATCACGATACACCATCATCAGAAAACCTTCAAACTTCTACCACACACCTGGTTTTTCCGCTCGGCTGACAAATCGGGTGGAAGCTCAAACTTCTTCACTCTGTTCACAACTTCCACTGGAGTTAAAGCTGCCATCTTGTAGAACGGGGCAGCCAGCTTCCAATCAGCCTCGTCATCACACCTGAAACACATTACTCACTCACTCACTCACTCACTCAAATATTATCAACTTCCACAATTAGAAACTCATTCAGATTTAATGAAGACTTAGATTTACATTAACAGTTGGCCTTATCCATGGTAAAATCTTAAAGAGATCTCAAACACAACAAAATCTGTATTTATGACATTGCCCTAATAATTCTTTATATTAATAAAGACAACGCAACGAATTTTCCAGCCTGATCCAGACCTCAAGAAGAATGGAGGTCCGAGGTCCCGCATCAACACGAGAAAACTGCGCCACACGGCTCCAGTTGCGTTCTGATAAGTGACTGAGGACAGAGAGAGAGAGTAAGAGCTAACAATGAACTCAAATTAACGAAACACAAAACCGACTGCAACGTTATAAAAATGTGTTGCGGCGAAAGAACAGAGAACTTTCAGACCTGTTATTTGAGTAAGAACAAGCTAATATGGAGCAGCAAAGTCCTCCTTGAAAAGGCGAAAATCACGCGGCTGTCAAGAAACTGCCAACATTTCGCTTAACCCAAGTGTTGTTACGTTGTTCACAAGACCCTGTCAGTTCAGGAACAGAACTTACATTATGTAGCTGTCCGCCAGCAGTGCACATGACTCTCTGTACAGTTCATCACGCTGTCTTGTGAACTCCTCGCTGTCGGAACAGGGCAAGGCTTCCGTTGTCCCCGGCTTCCAGGTGACTGTGGCAATGGCCGTCCGCAGGATGACGTGTCCTTCGCACAGGAGATGACGGTATGTGGCGGGGCTAGACCAACGGTGCGCGGAGCCAACGGTAAGAATGTCATTGTAGAGAGCGGCAGGACACGGCAGAGTGAGCGAGTACAGCGTCCAGCCTCCGGAGCAATGTGAACTATTCAACAACATCTGCCATTTCTGAATTATACGCTAAATGAAACTGATCTATAACAACACATCTAGCGCAATTCACTATAGAAAATTAGCCAAATGATAAACATCACTAGGCTAGCCGTATTACTCAATATTTTCCGTCATACGTAAGAAATATGTCGCTTTCACAGAACAAACCATAATCAATCTGTAACTTCTTGCTTACATTTCTGATTACTTCCAGGATGTCAAAAGAGTGGACTTCGTACACAGAACTATTTTCCTTCATTAATGAGAACGACAGCAACAAGTTCCTAAAATGTACCTCAGGTTTTCATGGCACTAAAATTGCAGACTGCAATCTAATGAGTCGTCACTATGCAGTCTCGTAGGTGGCCATCAGAAAAACGCCTGTCCTTCAGACACAAGACAATTTATTTCCTCTCCCTTTAAGTGTAATCACAGCTTGAACCTTCCACAGAAGCAACAAAAAACATACTCCTGGCTTGAGGAACTGGACTCCTCGGAACAAGCCAACAGCACGAGGTAGGAGTCGGCCAGTAGCAGACGTTCCACTCCGAGGAACGGGCGCAGGCCAACCAGGCAAACGGGGTCGTCTGCAGGAGGGCAGGCCTAAGGAAATAAATCAAGCCTGCACCTGACATTCACCATCAAAACAAGAAGATTTAAAAAGAGCTTCATAAATAGGATTTCAGGTTCCCACATCAGTCACGATGAAGATGGCTCTTGTCCGGCTTCTAGCACCGTGTAGAAGTTTCTCAATGTTTCAGAGTTACTTGCTGCCCTCATCATCAGGATAATCAATGCCCTGATGATGAAGGCAGCAAATACCCGCGCAGCATCGGTAAACTTCTACCAGAATACGAGGTGCAACAATCCTATAAGACAGCCATTCTCAAATGTTCATGAACTGCACTCTTCACAAAATATTACTCAAATAAAGAAATCAGATATAATGAGATGAGTGGGTCACGTAGCGCACACGGAAGTCAGAGATCCTGAATGGATGATACAGTTGGGAGACCCACGCACAGACGGAAGGATAACTTTGAAACGGATGTTAAGGAGTAACACGCAGTAGTGCATCGACCTCGCACGGATCATGATATGGTCCAGCGTTGATGTCTTTAAATCAAATACAGAAAGGATACTAGAACATTCCCTAATAATCTCCTGGGTTTAAAACAACTGCTTCTTATCAAACATTTTCAGCTTCTACCAAATAACATCACAAGTTGCGATAAATTGGAAATGAAAAACCACCAAAAAATCGGAATATACAGAAAATTGAAAACTTTTCCAAGAAATAAATAAAAAAATCTGAACACAACTGTGAGTGAAACGTAAATAGGAGGTTTAACAGAAGTGACAATCGGCTGAGAATGCTCACAGTGAGATTGCCGGCGGGATCCAGCGCTGATATGAAGTGATGGCCAGCTCTCAAGGTGTACGTTTCCAGACCAGTTTCTGTAAGGGCGTGCAGGACAAACCTTTCCATGGCAACAGCTGTCACTGGCGCAGTGAATGGATACACAGTCACACATGCTGCCTGCTGCAGTCTGGAGGGCTCCTGCACGTCCCGCATGTTGAAGTGGTACAAGTAGCCCTCCTGCTGTGTCACAACTAGACAGACCGTGCTCACCAGGTCTCCGTAATACTTCGAGTGCATCGGGTTTATGACGGTTACCGCTGTTAAACAAGAACAATAAGTCCTCTAGCTACTTTATTAGTTAATGGTCTCTTCTTACACTTTAGCTATGTTAATTATGCATAAGGAAACATTTTGACAGCATCGTGACGTCCACACAGCTGATTACTTTTACATATTTGGTATAAACATTATTCTGCAAAAAGCCACCCCATCTCAATCTTGTTACCATCGATGATACAACTGCAGGCAAACTTGAGCGTGCTAAATCCTGTCTGCTGTGATACCCCATGTCTTAAAAAATCATAATATTATTCTCCCATCTACACCTGGGTTTCCCAAGTAGTCTTTTTCTTCAAACTTTTCCGGCCAAAACTGTGTACGCATTTATCCTGTACTCCACCTCCTGTCCCAATCACTGTAACCTTCATCATTCATGCACTTAAAAAAATTAAAATACTCCACACTACTAAGTAATTTTCTACAGGTTCTCCTTATTTCACCTTTCTTACGTCAGAATACGTTCTAGAACTCGGTTGTATAATGAGGAGAGCAGAAATGAGTGGATTCAAACTGCACCTTTAGTATTACCAGGCTCTTTCCTGGCATACAATGGTTTTAAAACCAGGCTACGGAATTCATCGCAGGCCGAAGAGTACGTCTGCTTAGCGCTGCTCCCAAGCTGTGGCGCGGTAATCTGCAACTGTAGCAGATGCAGAACTTCACTCTTTGCTGCCCATGGCTGTAAGAGATCGAAACCTTGAGTTTCAGCTATCAACTGGAAGAGACTGCCTCGGAGATGAGACGATCTTACAGAAACAGGTGTCAATGTGTGGAATGGGTTAATTTGTATATAGCTGGACAGCTGTGTTAAATTTCTCACACCACCATTTGCAAATATATTGAAGCATTAAAGTAGAAGTGTTCAGTATAAGAATCTGGAACTCAGAAAAAGGTTGTTCTTTGCTTATTTTCATTAAAGTAAGGTACATTCCAGAATCTGACATCCTGGAAACAAATGTCTTAAGCAAATCAACGTCTCACCATTCTAAAGATACTTCCATAAATCACACATAAAAAATAATTACTCCCCTCCGCTGCCTTTGCCACTATCGGAACATAATGAATTTTTCTCGAGCTAGCGTTGCCAACCTCATAACAAAATGTAACCCCAATTTTTAGCAGAATTTGTTTTTAAAAAAGTGTGCAGTGTACTCAAGAACTGTAGTAATCATCACTCACAGTGGCAGCAGGCGAAGTACACCAAACTACGGCGCTCATGTTTGGCGGGGCTACTTGGAAAGGTATGTGGCGATACATGACTCCAGACGGACTACCAGGGCAGCTGGTTACTTTATCTGCTACAATGCTAGGAAGATCCACTCGCAAAGGGAATGAACTGCTATGCAATTTGGAGTCTGTGTTACAGTCACCCCTCAGAACCTCTTCCCAGTCAATGTGGGAATCTATGTTGTTATTCTTATTCCCTATAACAATAAAAAACACGACAACAAAAGGAGTGAAAATTCTCTTCCATGGGGATCACCCTCCACAGCAGCATCAAACAATGACAGTTACCAAATAACATCTGCATTCAGCTTCAAAATAAATGGTTAACAGATACCTAAACCATAGCAAAAACTTTAAATAACAGCAAAGTTTTCATGCACAAAACTAACCCAAACTACTTTCTAGTAGTACGTTTCCTCAAAACGTAATTCCACGACTTGGCTACCAGTCTTATTTATGAGAACAGGTGCACCACTCAGAGCTTAGGTCAGCATCAGGGGATGACGCCCACTGAAGGATACAGTCACATTCAGCGTAAATCTCACCATTAGCGTGGCGATCAGTGCTCTCCTGCGACTGGTCTGCAGTCTTTGCGCCTGGCCCAAGTCTGAACACGTGCACATACTTGTCAGCCATGCATGCGATGATATCCTCAGCTAAGGACAGACTTGTTGGACTGAAGCTTAGGTCCACAAATACACCAGATTCTTCAAAGTCTATGAAACGGAGGCGTGAGATGTCACGTGTGCAGACACGAAAATGGTACAGTGTCAAAGTCTTATGGAACGCCAGCAACAAGTTGCCTGTTGTCTGTAGCAAACAAAATTAATCATCTTTCAGGACCGGAGTCACTGAACTACTACAGCCACATTTTATAATACCACTCAAAATTACTTTCAGTCTTATTTAAACTTGAATTCCAAAAATTGTTACAAATGGTGTTTAAATTTGACAAGACATTTTACAGCAGCCCCTTTTTGCCACTGCCAAAATGTCGGGAAGAGAGAGAAGAAGAAAATAATGTAAAATAAAGTACTATTACGTTATGCCATGTGATCTTGTAGGAAGTTACCAATGTTTTGGAGAAATGCATCGCTTCACAATGAAAATGGAAGTGACACATTAACTACTCGTACGACCACAGGCATCACAACAGGAGACCACCATCATTTTCACTTTGAGAACTATAATTCCCAAACATTCCTAAGCTTCTATTGAAGCTCTTCAGAATTTAACATAAATTAAAATGTCATATTTAAAAAATGTAAGAAGCATAGCAACTTTGTGAATAAACTGATCAGAAAACAGAATTCTCATCGGCAGCACGACATCAACATTGACACACTCGCACGCTTGTGTGTGTACATAAGCAAAAATATGTCCAGCTTCAAGTAAAAGAAGGTATGCACGTGCGCATGACTACGAGCAGATTCATCACGCGTGAAAACAATTAGAGAAGGCATTTCTTATGACGACGGTGCACGTGTGGCATCTGGTAACTAAGGAAGCATGCAGAGATTGAGAAGGGGGTGTCACATGACTCAACATGGCTGAGATTCTCTGGTTTGCAGAGGATATTTCTTTCATCAGTGTCCTCTCACCTGACCTTCTATTAAATCTTGATCTGTGGTCATTTGTGAAAGAACAGGTTACCACACTTCTTATGCAATATGCTGCTAAGTTAAAAGGCGAGATTCATGGTATATTCAACACCACATCACAAACCTCAGTGAACATTTCACACAAAAATAAATTATGCTAGTGATACTTCTTCTGTGTGTTTCATGGTGAAAGTGCTTTCTGACCTGACAACAAGCTATAACACTTGGTGCTTTCTTCAGAGGAAGTTCTATCATCTCCAGACTTGGGGGCCCTGACTGCGCACTGCTTGGAGTGACTCGGCCTGCAATTCGCGCTCTCATTGGCTGCTGTACTGCACTAGGGACATCCCAGTTGGCGTAGACCCGAGCATAGCTACACTCCTTTCCCTGACGATTCTGTTTCACCTCCAGCGTTGCAACATAGTTGCCTGTTGGTAAGAATGTCAACATAGCCCTCTCTTGTCAGTGTTCCTTCCCACCATTACCCAAGAAACCAAACGACATGCTGCAACAAGCGCCGCGTACCTGCCAAAGATCTATCACCATAGTGGCACTATTGCTCACATGAATGTGTCTATATTACCAACAGTGAGACATTAAAATGTGTAATTTTAGGGTAGCCTGTAATTGTATATCATCCATACCAAATCTCATCAAAATCTGTCTAGCAGTTCTTGAGTTGAAAATTGCAGACAGATATATGGACACAATTAATCTTAAGAAAAATTACTATTAAAAAAGAAAAAAAATATGCTAAAAATGTAAAAGGGTGTGACAACACATTTTTTAAATAATTTTTGCTTTGGTGCTGCACAGTGTTTAAATTTTATGTATTAAATGGCTGCCAAATAGTGATGCAGCAGATCACTTTATACACTCGAACAGAAACTGGCTGTGATCACCCCACAGTAAACAGGATACGGAGCAAACTAGAATTACAAAACTTTGTGAGTTACAACATATGACTTAATAAGTAATGTATCACTGAATTTGTCTTGTCTTGACAAGCAAAACAGAAGATGAGAGAGAAAACCAAGCACATGGAGGACACGCCTGACGATGTCATACTCGTGCTCGCATACGCCTAAACTTACGCTGCGTTAAAATACGGCAGCCGCATTTTAAGTAACATGTTACGTGCGGTTGTTACCATTGCAACAGTGAAGCATCTGCTGCGCTTGATCGACTGTTGGAAAGCTGAAGCTGACGCCGCCCCCTTTGGACAGATCCCGAACTTCCACAACATGCTGAGGCAATGCCAGTAACAAGTAATTAGGTGGGGCTGTGGCTGCAGTAACAGGATCCTCACATGTGTGGATGTCCTGACTCACAAAATGGTGCACTGATATAACGCGAACCATTCTCTGTAACATGTTCAAAATGGTTCCCATTATTCTGTCACATTCTGGTGAAGCAGAACAGATACAATGCTTATGAAACTAATATCCTATTCTCTGTATTTCAGCGGAAAAGCTAACAGAGCGACACGAGATGGACGGGGCATTACCACACATAAGAAAGATGAGAAACACAAAGTTTAACTTGGAAACCTACAGTGAAGAGCCCATTGGGAAACCTAGGCATAAATGGAAGGATAATATGAATGTAGATCTTAAAAAAACCAGGTGTGACATTGTGGACTGAATACATCTGGCTCAGCACAGGATCAAGTGACAGGTTGTAATTTGATCACTTAAGCAACCATTAACTACTTAAGATAGATTGCACTCCATGCAGTTTTATTACAAATGTGTCACAGAGTATGTATGCATGACACAAGAACAGAGATTCTAAATGATCAATAATGTGAATGACAAGGGATTTTTTTCTAAAATTTTACAAGAAACATACATGGAAGACAATGGAGATAAATACATGGTGCAAGAATCATAAGGAATGACACTTCCCATGAATGTATGGAAATGTGTTACATGCTACTTTCACTAACCTAGATGACATTAAAAACACGTATACTTCTGAGAAGGCAGCACATATAAGATAAAAGGGGTTAAGTTTCACCTGTAGCAAGCCACAGACATCAGGACGTTTGAAAACAACTTCTGTACCTGTGGATATAAGGCTGGGTAATGACATCAGAACACAGCAATTTTCTAGCTTCCTTAACAATGGTAAATTAACTGTATCCAACAACTAGACAATTAAATGCAGCAATACCAACAGTATGGCATGTGCACTGCTACCAGCTATTATCTCAGTTGTCGTATTGTTTGAGAACATTGATTTTTAACTGTATAAATCAAGTGTTTTAATGTATTTTTATGCAATAAAAATATACCATAATGCGAGTTAGCTAGTATGGTACAGTACCATGACCTCTCATAAAGCCAGTTTACAATCCACTGGTAAGACAGTCTTTTGTGTAACTCAAGCAGTGTTCTCTTACTATGCAAAATGGCACACCAATTGTCTACAATTCCCCGATGGTATCACAAATAAAAATTATTTTTATGCATATCTGTAAAATGCATACATGCAATATTTCCTTTTTAAAGTCATGTACCTCCTACCCTACCAGCTACTGTCTGATTGTTCACCCCTACATCTCCAAATAAGGCATCCATAGGAAGCTGATGGTAGCACTGATTATTTGTGACATGCCAATGCTCTAAGACATCAATAAGGATGATAATGATGTTCTTGTGGGTTCTTGTACTGTGTGGACTGATCGGTACATGCCAGTATTTTGGAAAAGCATACTTCTTTGAAATTACAGCAACTACTGACCAGGAAATCTACCAGACTACACGATGCAATAACCCAGAAGAAAGCAATCTTCAGACTCATTGCTGTGAAAACCTCAAGTCCTAAATCAACCGACCAGTCCACATGGCACCAGAACCCCATCGCCACTGCCATGAAAACCTCGTATCACACATTAATAAAACATTATTGTGCCTGTGGAACTCTAATGTATACTTATATGTAAGTATGACGTTTTGTCCAGAATACAGTAGTGCTCCAGGTAAGTTTGCTAGATGCTTTTCTTGAAATGTTTTGAATTAAGGTATACCATACGAAAACTCTGAACTACTGAATGTTTTAAAACCGACTACAATAAGCATAAAGCCTTATAACCCATCGCGGTTTTCATTCGTTCAGCCCCACACCAATTCGTCGCCAAAACACTGAAAATCTCACGGATAAATTAATTATTGAGACGAAATATCTGAACGTCCTGTGTCAACAATTATATATCTTGTAACATGAAAACATCAATTTATCACTTACATTACTGTAAGCCGTGGTAAAAAACGGTGCTGAACTACCCACGGTCCATTACCAACATTACATTCCGAAAGTAAATATAAGCCGAAGAACTAAAGCACGGTATCTATAGCTACCAACTACGCTTGGACTGAAATTTGCGGAACTTAAAGCGATTCGAATACAAATCGACTTCAACCTAACCTCCAAATCTAATACAGAACGTGCTACGAAGTCAATACACTATGCACCTGCACTTAACTTCTCATAACATAACTACCTACCCCTTCGACGGTCAAGAGATTCCAGTTAAGATTTTACAACAATGTACAGTTCACAAATACAAGAATAAAGGCCAACACCTGACAAAACCGCATCCAAGACGGCCACTTTCTTCTCTCACATAAATTCAGGCGCGCGCGCACGTACACACACACACACGTCGGAAAAATGGCTCATAATAACAAGTTACATTCGAAATCATCAAAAACAGAATAAAAATGTAAAAGATAAATTCACTAATAAGAACCGTTCACAAGACAGGTTAGGAGTCATCAAATGTGGCGAGAGAAACACCAATCATAAGTAATATACAATAAGCAGGGTTATTGAGGTAGATGGCTAGTAGGTAAGGGCAATCGCCCTGACAGCAAGGACCTCTGAAACGTCGGTGAACTTTTACCAAGCCATATGGCACAACCGAGAAGACAGCCGGTAGGATGTTACCAGCATCCCTCAACCTCTTGTACAGCCAGAAGAGTTGGTCACTGTCAACATTATCACAGAGAGCAATCTTCTTATTTATTGTGCTTTATATCACATCCAATAATCTTCAGTCCTACAACAACATGATTAAGAAGTTTAACACATAGAGAGTAAACCAATGACCACAAAAGAATGAATGACATCACAGAAATACCACACATGGCATGCAACATTACACTACTGGAGTCACACAGGAAAAGTAGAGAGGAAGAATAAGCAGAGGTACATAGACTTAACAAGTGAAACATGAAACAACCAATATCAAACATCTTTCCTTCAAGTGACATCACCGCTCGGCAGAATTACAGTCAAAACATTAGTGTAAATGTATCAATTATGACATCACCAAAATCCCAAATGTCAACAACTCTTTACACATTGCATTTTGTAGTATTTATTCACCCATACCTAAAGCTGTACGCCTCACTGACATACACAAAGTACCTCAGCAGAAGCTTACTGACAATCATACAGCCTCTGAATGGAAAGTAACAAGTTTCAAAACACACTCTGATGACACAACCTGTCTACAAACACAATAAACATACTGCAAAATTTATCACCAAACAACTACAAATTTGTATATTACAGTACATATTTTTCATATAAATGTTCAAGATGGCCATTTCCTGGGATGTAGCACCATGTAGTCTGGCAGCTATTGGCCTACATTTCAGAGGAGCTTAGTTCCTACACCATTAGTGCAGCAAGCTCTGAAACATACATCTAACAATACTGGTGCCACATTCTAGAAGAACTTCACCAAATTTACCTTTTATTTGTCAGTTGTTCATTTATTTACTCATCAATTACTTTCCTTTTTTTCCATCATGCTGAATTAGCAGTTACAGCCAGCTGACAAGTGATGTTCCTCCTGGTTGGGGGTTAGCTAGTAACCCCCCCTCCCCCTTAATACGTAGCATGTTGAGGAGTATCACGACATGGAACCCAGTGGAAAGCTCTTGTGAATATGATAATGGACCTCTGGATTCCACAAAATGCAGTCACTTCTTAACCAGTAGACCATCAGCTTCTCAAGATTGACTCTGGTCCATGGTGTTCTGAATGAAAACATGTCATCACAGACCATTTGTGGCCCATGAGCCTCAACTATAGTAGGTAAAAGAGCTGGCTCCTCTTAGATCCCAAAACTATAATCTACATATCAGATTATCTTCAACCCATACTACAGATGCATAGCCATTGGAGTGTCCGAGATAATACATATATGCACAATGGACTTTTGTGGATATATGACCATGAGAGGTATTGCTTCAGTGAGGTCAGAAGTGAACTCGGCATACCTGTATTACCAAAGCACACTTCACCTACTAATGTCCAGTGCATTTCATCAGACACAGGTTTCCATGTTGTTTGGTGTGATATGTAATTTCTTTATGATCTAATAATGCACAACCTGCAATTGTCATAAACTTAATTTCTGATGCCAATAATATGTTTTCAAATGCTTTTGCACCTGGGTATGACCAAGCACATAGTAAAGGGTGCAAGAACACACCATCCATGAAACACCTTTAGATATTTCCTTCATACAATGACCTTCATTACACATTTACTGTACGAAAATGGCACTTCGGAAGCTGGGGACTTTCCACGCAGATATCATGGGTTCAAGAGAAGATGGCTCAGTGCTGCCTTCCTCCTCATTCCCCTCCAACCAAACTTTAACATTCTGGGAATAGCATAAAAAAACCCACCTCATTTCACTAAAATTAATCCTAATACAGTAAAACCCAACTGACTGCTCAAGTGCATTTTATAGTTACGTGTTTTGAGTGACTCAGTTCCCAAGCAGTTGTAACGTACGGTGGCTGCAACATGACCGAAAGCTTCAGCTACATCACAGTAAGACGGGAACAGGAAGATGGAAAGGGCAAGGGGGGGGAGCAAGTGACTTTGTGCTATCACTTCTGCTCCCTCCTCATACTTCAGCAGCTGACGTATTTGTAACGTTGGTCAAAGGTCAGGGATATCCTGCAACAAGTACTCATACAATCCTCACTTAAAGCACAATGTGGATGGGATGGAAGGACAGAGGCAGAGAATGATACACGCAACACATGACGGATTCGTTATGTGCTGAATTACAACGCTTCATAAAACAAATAAACAATTCTACCTTAAATTTTTATTTTGATCAAATATTATAAACAAATGAGAAAAATTCAAACTGGTCACAAATGAAGCCAACTGCTGTACACAAGGCTGCAATGTGGAAAGCAACTTCCCAAAAAAGAAAGTATTTATGCATGGCTAAACGTTAGGTGGCTAGTAGACATTATTTCAACATAAAAGGGGGGAAATCAAGTCAGCATACAAAACCTAAAACATGTTTAATGTGTTCAAACCTTCCCAACTTTATTTGTAACCTATTAAGTTCACATACAGTAAACATGATTTGGATATTCAAATCTGCTCTTAAGGTGATGCAGTACGGTGTACATCGAGACAGTCCATGAAGACAAAGGCTGGGAGATTCTTGGCTACAGCTACTGAAATAAATTAAATAACCATCAGACATTCAATTTAAGATCATTGACAAAGCATAAAATTACTTGTGGGTCAAATTCCATGTAGTGGCATGATTTTCCCACCACAAATTATTTTCTTGAGCAATGTTTGTGATACTGACTCTTGGATTATTTAATAATGCTACCTCAAGGGTTTTTTTCTTCTTTTTTTACTGTTGAGATAGTGTGAGGAACTGTGGCCACCATCAGGCTCAATGTTCATCCTCAAGGTCATATATGAGAATATGGAGAATTAATGGAATGATATCGAAATGAAAACCAAAGAACTTGGTGGAAACCCAACCCAGCGCCACTTTGTCCACCACAAATCCCACATGCACTTCCCAGGAAGTGAACACAAGTCTCTGTGTCAGAAGCCTGTGCTATGGCAGTGGTTATACAGTATCAATTAAATAAGATGGTGAATGTAAGTATGGATTTGGAACGATACAACTGCTGATGGTTCATTATTTGTTGGCTCCTAAAGATTAATAGAGGTAATTCACAAGCACATGATCACAATTTCTTATCAATCTTGTGTGCCACTATATATAAAGAATTATACCACTGAAGCAGTGCTTTGTAATCCAACTTAATTTTTGACATGTTATCATCAATGGCTTTAAAGAAAATTCATATGTTCTTAACAAAATTTACCCTCAAAATACAATTTTGGTACAAACTCAACATGGGCTACTACATTACATAAATACAGATTTATATATTTCAACAAATATTCCACTAGGGAAAATACCATATTGGAGGCCTAGGACAACACAGAAATGGATTAGAAACAAATGTTAGGTGTCTACTGGATTCATCTGGCTCACAAGAGAGTCCACTGGAAAGTTATTGTGAATACGGTAGAGAATTTTTCTGTTCCAGAAAAGTCAGGGAATTTCTTGAACAGCTATGACTGCGTAATCCGAACATCTATTCCACAAGCAATGACTGGAACATTTTCAGGTGTCAAAGGAACGTTTGTTTTCACATCATAGGCAATCTGTTCCCACCTTTCTCCTACAAGGCAGTGACTACTTTAAAGGTGGGTTGTCAGATCACATACACAAGGAGGATTTTACTGTGCGCACACACATTTTTTCTTATCAACACAAAATTATATCACATTAAGTGAAACATTTCTTTTCCCACTGTGAACAGTCTTCTTAATCAGTCACTCCACAACATTAAATCTGACAATGGCACAACTCCAAAATTATGGTGAGCAGAAGATGGCGCAGTGACTTGCTAAGCCAGAAGTAGAAGTTTCTTATTGAAAGTAAGGGTGGAAGTAGAACCTCTGAACACAGTTATTGTAATTTTGAATTTCAACACTGTTTTGAGATAAAGTAATGTACTCACAAACAATGAGATCGAAAAACAGCAGTATCAATGGGCTCCTACTGACAGCAGGGTCAAAAATATTGCTACTACAAAATGTTAGGTTAGGGGTTAGCTCACTGTTATGAGATGAAGTCACATAATAACTTCTAACACAATAAAGTAACACATTCATAAAATCCATTGAAGTGCACAAAAATAAAATTTTGAATGGTGTGTCTGAGAAACTGCAGAGTTATCTCAGGTCACCTCTGAATCCTAGTAACAAACCTGACTCCACTTATTTTGCTTATAACTTTACTAAGAAAATCATGACACCTCATTACGAAAGTGACCCATTCCTTCCTCCCAATGTGTTACTCATACCTCTTCATGGTATGCAAACAGGTGCCCTGTTTCCTAGTTGCTCTGTTTGTCCTTGGAGTCTTGCAATGACAGAGGTTCCTTCAGTCTTTCCGCCTTTGTCTCTTCACCTGAACCAGCTGATACCAAATCATTTTCTTTCCCCTTTCCTTTGTCTTCCTTTTCTGCAATATTAACAGGAACTTCTTCCTTGCTTGCCTCATCGAAGTTCTCCACTAGCTCTGGAACCTCATCATCCTCTTCAATACTCGCTCTCACACCAGCAGCACTATTTGCCACATTAGATGCAAGGCGTTTTAGCTGTGTTAAACCTTCTGGTCCTAGCTGGCTCAAAATTCCTGGTAACATTTCGGTAATTTGTTTGTTCTCCCCATGACCAGTAATGGCAAAAGTGTTTGCTGCTAATGATGCTTGGGCTTTTGGGTTATTAAAATGGATGACAGTGCCATCATCCTTAATCATATTAACTTCTTCGATACCCGGGATTGTATTTACTGACAGCTTCTTCAAGGAACTCTGAAGTTTCTTGTCATCAGTTGCGGCAGTAGCATGCACTACCTTCTTCTTTCTGCGTGGTGTACCCTTCCCTCCAATCCGAACCTGGGCTTGAAGTTTCTTTAACTTTTCTTGATTCATTTTAATTCCCTGCCCTTACAAACCAGTTCAACACTATACTGATACTTACTACTTATATTAACACAAAGAACTTTCAATGTTAATGAATTGCGATCACAATTTCTACCTTCTCTTTAGTACACGTGCTCAAAACCTACAACCAATTCGAAGAAAATGGATGCCACTCAGACTGCATTCCATTGAACTAACATTTGTCATATAATATACTCTTCGCACTTACAGACAATTCGTAATTATTACGGTTGGTCAGATATAAATTATTCTGATATAATATATATCACGCTCAATTTATCTGTAGTTTGTAGTGAAAGTTATTTATTTCCCGTGCTTTACATATGGAGAGGATAAGTTTCCAAGTCTGATATCTGTATATCAATTTGTAATCTTGAATCACCAGAACACCACAGGACGTCCAGGTATAGTTTTCACGTAGGAACCAACAATACCAACGCAAAATATATACTAGAACAGCATGTTATACCAGACACGTACATGAACAGTTGAGACCAAGCACGTTACACTGCTCCCAGCGCATGAGGCAGTAGCAATGAGATCAAAGGAGCGCAGTCGAAGGTTGGTGCTCGGCATCGTTTGCCCGTTCGGTAGAGAAGCTCACTGTTCGCCTACGTAGGATTTAAGGTTCTCAGGATGTTGAGTCTGAAGATGTCTTCTGGGTTGTGGCGCCGTGTCGTCTTGTAAAAGTTTACCGACGTTACAGAGGTCCTTGCTGCCTCCGTTATCAGGGCGCGCTTGTTTGAAATAGATGAATTTTAACTGGAGAACCTATTCACTGATGAGATGTCCCCATACATCTTGATTAGTAACTGGGAAATGTATAGTAAATAAACGGAGATGAGTATGAAATCAAAGTTTTATAAATCTAATATTTCTGAATGCATAAAACAGAAACAGTAAATAATACAAAACTCGAGTGACTCCCAACAGAAATAAACTATGCATACGCGTCACTTAGCAATTAAAAGTTCCTTTTGATTTCATTTAACAGAAATAAGAATATCAAAGAATAAAATTACTTCTGTTATTTCAGTACAACCTATTCCGTTACATGTTGGTTCTGTTTTCATTTGAAATTAGCAGTTGACCAAGGTGAATTACGAAATATTAAATTTTTTACGCTATCCATTTCAGGAATCACACTGCTCCCGCGTTAGTTACTCAAGTTTTCGGATTCATTTCTGAAAAAAGCATCAGGGTGGTTGACCAAATCATGAACGTGTCCAAAAAAAATGAGCCCCCTATCTCCGGCGCAGATGCAATCGCAACGGACGCTAGATCGAAGCACCGACCAAATTTGTTCACATTTCATGACAAATCAATACACACGACGAAATGGTTGGTTAGACTAATGAACCGCCGTATTAAATTTTAATGGGACAAAATGAACATTGGCACCACAGACATCGCAAAAACCAGACCGAGATCACGGTCCAGTAGGGTCGAGGCCAAAAATATTTCAAGAATAAGAACCGATTTCCTTTCGTCAACGATGGCTTCTGCCACAACCTTCGGCCACTCTGCTTCTGCCAGCTTTTAAGATGCACAAAGTAAATACCGCGCTCAGCATATTGAATAAAAGCACTTACTAGAGCGACAAGAAAAGTGAAATTACATTTCACTTGTGTTGGTTTAACCGCAACTTAAGATGATGTTTACGCTCAAAATGACAAAGGAATGCAAAATAACAGACGCTGTCCTCCTTTTCCCGCACATGTAGAGCGGATTGTGGGTGTTTGTCTCCAGAGATGAAGCTTACAAACTCTATGAATAAATTTGTAGAAGAAAAACCACAGGCGATTAAAACATGGCTGAAAACTGCATGCCCCATCAAACAGATTTATGAATCAACCAAGTCGAGTCACAACATCTTACGAAATGCAAATTAGGGGACAATGTTAAAACAGTAAAATATGAATACCGGTATTTTACACAAACAATGTTTTCTGTTGCCACAAGAATGCCTTCCAAATTAAAATTGCCATGGATTTAATATTTGCCGCTACGCCATTAAATTAGGATTTATAAGAATGGAATAAATACGTTTCGGAGTGGCTCTAGCCTTCTAAGTACCTAGTTCACGCGTAAGAGAGACGGTTAATCTACCTCATCTCTGTAATGTAAAGGCAGATCTGAAAACTCAGTCACTTATGCAAACTTTGGTGTAATGGCACTGGCCATTAGAAGTTACTTAATTTGCAACCAGAAGTTCCAGGAGTCGTTACGCGCGGTCGACCTCTGCTGGAACGACAGGCGTTTTCAGTGTTCAGTGTTCTTGTTCCCGTGGCCCACTAATGGCCTGTTTTTGCATTACTTTCTCGGAACTATAACCCTATTTTACGTAGGATTAACAAATAGTGAACACAGATTAACTGTTTAATTTGACTTCATCGTCACAGAGGCGAATGTTTATGCGTAAGTTATACTGTTTTATGGTGGCGTCTCTTCTGCGCGGGGTCGAACAGTGGGGAAACAACCCCGTGACGCTATGCGGCCGTTGCGAGACGCCAAACGTCAGTCACCGCGAGATTTATTGGCACATCATCTCACAGGATTTGTCACTGATCAAAACCCCTCGGCGTATTCATCTGCGCAGCAGGCAACATGAAATAATGCGACTGTAAATATTTACTTTTGTTTGTTACAGATCTGACCGTCAAGTGACCGGGTCGGATGAGGATGAGCGGGGAAGTGCACTTCGGTAAGTACAGAAACAAACGAACAACGAATTTCACTTCGGTTCTGTGTACTTTTGGAGATTTTCAGGAGCGACGCAATTCCACTTTGAACTTTAGAAATCGGCACTGAAGTCAGTCGGGAGTTTATTCCGCACAGTCTCTCCATAAAGGAACCAAATAAACAGGACGCACTTGAGTCTCATATCGCATTCAGGGCCTGGCGCGTTGAATGTCACAAACAACTGATCCGAACTCAGCAGCGACTTGAACTTATTACGAAAGTTCTCTATGGCATCAAACAACTTGGGCTATCGGAAGTTAAGTGACGCCCAACAAACCAAAGCAAGAAACAGAAAGAGACAATTTAATTTGAATCCCCTGACATCTTATCCAGGGCGCGTTTTGCCTGGAGCGGGGAGGAGCGACGGGTGCTGACCTGTTTATTAAACAACACTGCTTCTTCAACAGCGTAGATCACACGATTTCAGATGAGGGAAAAATTTCTGAACGAATATGAAGCGGTCATGATGACGTATTCTCAGACGCCACAAGTGCTGACTGAGCGGGCCAAGGCCTGGGCGAACGGGGTTCGATTCCTGGCACATCAGCACGCTTCTTTTCACCACAAGGTGCAGTCGAAATCCAGGGCTCACAGACCCCCGTTCAAAGGGCGATTTCCTTCGGGATAAAGCGGACGCAGCCTCAAATTAACCACCAGCCTCTGTCTATTGTTCAGTATAAGAATGAGTGGAGCTGTACCTCCTCTTCCCCATACGCGGCGATGCTTAGTTAAGCACCAGAACTGTTAGTGCGCAGGCGCAATGGCAGTGAACCGAGGCTGTAGGTGCGCGCGCAAGCTTTAAGGTCCGTAGTCTTAAACGTGAATAGAGCATAAAGTTTCCAGCGCTGATTACAGCCTTGGACACAGAGGGCATTTTCGGTCGGTTAGGGTGGCCATTCGTTTCAGCTGCTCTCTGCAGTTCGGGGCTTTGGGAGTGTCTGGAGAAAACGCGGCCAGCCTTCCACCAGACCATTAATTTCACCGATTACGAACTATAAATTAAGTGTAGAAATAATGCGACATATCATTACGTCTCTTCAATTGTATGTACCAATTCAAACGGGAGGATAATTGTTTGTGTGAACGAGGCAGATTTTGAAGAAAAGAACTAACTCCGTCCTCTTGAGAAGCTAATAGTTGTTCAGCTGCTCAAGAAATTTCCCGAAGCTTCCAGAAACAAATGAATCCAGTGCACATCCTCCCACTAAGTCAAGTTTTCGTCGTGTTCCGTTTCCTTCAGGGTTTTCGACTGCAGTTTGCGAACATTTTTTCTTGTCTCCAGCGTCTCGAACGGCCGTGAGTGGTCCAGTGGCTGTCCCTGCACGGAAGAGCATGCTTAGTCCCATAGTACCTACCCACCTTGGCTATCCTGAATCCGACCACAGGAGGCATCCGAAGGTGACATCGTCCCTGTGGATCCGTGGCAGCGAGTTTCATTTTCCGTTCATCTTCCTCCTGCACTCGCACACGAAAAGAACGAGAAAACAACTGACAAGAGGGGGCAGATGACCCAAAGGGAAGTTTGTGTTCCGGTTTTCGGCCCGCCCCAGCCCCGCCTTAGATGTCACACGGGCGACGTATGGACGAGGAAGCTACAAAAAAAGTTTTCTTTTCGATCGATCGATATGGTACATACGTCGAGTGGCAGAACCAGAGAGTGGACTGGAGTTTCGATTGGTCGTTCTAACCATCCTCAGAACATCGATCACCAAGTTACGATGCTCGAAGTAGGCCACAATTTAAAGTATCCTGTAACTCTGCGCTGATGTTTCGACTGATCGATCATCGTCAGGCTGTATCTTTGTTCCCCTTCAGTAAACAAAATGCAATAAGTTCGAAACTTACTGAACTATTCGTGGACGCGGTCCACATCTGTCTCTCTCGTAACAAGCCGAGCCGTGTTTCCGTTTGATCCGGTTCGAATCCCGTTCAGTCCCAACTCGCACGTAATCTCTCAAGTCGAATTCCAAGATATGAACTTCAAACAGGTTAAGTCCGTTTCCTCTCATATCCATACCTATTCACCATTTTTATCATATTTCCATCTCAATCTACAACTTCCTTAACAAATCTCCACATCAGAAACAGTGTCGTTAAACAACGTAAGATAGGACAGCTGCTGCTGTTACGTCATCTGACGGGGTTTTTCCGGTGTCCTTGCAATGTTTTGCCTCTGACGTAAATTTCAACTTCACGAACGCCGGTCTGCGCGTTGCTAATCTCGTTTCCCTAACGACCGAAGTTTTATTAGAGCCCTCATTCAGACGAGAGGGCGCATATGATGAAGTCAATCCAGAATTGTAGAAGGAGGGCACACCTTAATTTCTGCGGCCAAAAGAAGGCGAATTACATGTTTGGTACATACTGCGCCGACTTAAGTATGTTCCTCGCCCAGGTTATTGTCAAAATAAAGATTACTCAACTGAATATTTTATTACTGGACAGTCCGGCTCGATACGGTTGCCAAGCAACGAGACGCCACTGGACATAAATCGTTTTTCCATTTTACAACCGATTACGGTCGCCTAGCAACCAAACCAGAGGAGCAGCTGTTTCGATACATCCTTCCTCACGGTGTCCTGTCCTGAACCAGCTGCACCCATTGCATACACTCACATAATGCTACTTCAGTATTCATTTTAATATTATCCTTGTATCTGGGCCTACGTAAATTGCACCAAACCAAAATACATCAGAACTGACGTATCCGTTTTGCTTCAGACGAAGCTGATCCCAGCGCCTGAGTCAGCTGACACGGCAGCCCTGCTATAGCAAGCGAATGGAAACCACGTGATTCCATTTCCCACAATGATTAAAGCCGAAATCCGGTCTTATTGAAGAAAACTTAATGAAAACTCTTTCTGATCCAAAACTTCCTTATTATGAACCGGTCCCAGATTTCAATGAAAAGAAATCCGTAGCGAAGTATCGATTGCTGCTGAGTCGATTCGCCGCGAAACCCATTCAGCCTGCCAGCCAGCGGTCGACGCTCGTCAGATTCGCAGGGGCCACCACGAAAATTCCTGTCAGCTTCTTTGTTTGGCCCACACGGAACACATTCCCGAAGAGAAGTTTCCGTCTGTCCATCGCAAGCGAAGCAAAAAACAGTCAGAACAGAAACAGAAGCTGGTTTTATACTCGGGGATGATTAATTAGAACTGCGGAGCTGAAGAGCAGACAGGTCGCCATGGCAACGGCTCGGCGTCGTTCCGGACTGCCGAGAGAATCCTCTGGTTCTTTATTTTCTTGACGAAGAAGAAGAATAAGGACGAGAATCGCAAATGGATGAGTGCGGGCTTCTGGACTCAGCGAGAGACAAACTGGTTAACGTTCTTAGCCTGCGACGACTTCGCTCTGGAAACGCGTATTTACTCACTTCTACGAAGACAAACACAAACGTCATCATCCCAAGAAGAGCCCCTCCCCCCTGTATCACATTCGCACGAGGTGCAATCCGGACACGAGAACAGGACCTTCATTCATCCGTGTCTTCATATTGCAAATTATTTATTTCCATATTAGTTTATCAAATGTTACTGTTTGGTTGTTGGCAAGCCTGCCGTGGCTCTCCTACGCGGGTAGACAACCTGCACGACTGGGAGTCACTGTCGCGTAACATGACCTCGGATCTCATCGGTGCACCTCCGGAATTCCAGCGTACTCCAAAGAGTACACCTCTCCAATCTTGCAACGTTGTTATTCGGCACTTGTTTTCGACCTGTACATTTTAACAAAACACAATTACGTACGTATTATTTAAATGCACTGCTATTTAAAAACGTAATCATAGACCCCAGCGCCGCAGTTTCGTCCGTCCACGCCATACGCGGGTCTTCTGTGCAAATGGAAAAGTAAAGTGATTTTAACAAAGTGCTTCAAGCATATTCACTTCAAAATCGCATTAAACCGAGAGACGTACGCGAAGGGTGGTGGAGAACGGAATGGGATTATCTACAAACAATTCCTTACTTCAGACGACGCCCTCCGCCTCTTCACTTAACGGTACGTGAAAATGCAGGAACACACAAAGTCCAGAATTACGAAGACGCACGTCTGACCCCAATCGGAATGCCCACGGCTGGTCCCCGCAACATCCACGCAGCCGTGCGCTCGCGAGACGCGAACAAAATTACTCGGCA